TCTCACGCTTGGTTCCCATTTCCATTCTCAATCAAAATTTCCATATTTTATCGTTTCAGCTGTCAGCTCAGCTTAGATATACCCCTTTGTCGTATGTTATAGTTTTATGAGCACAGGGTATAGTAAAAGAAGAATACACAAAGTTTATTGACTAACACCAAGAAACTGGCCTAAGTAAATATGCCAGCCTTGCCTGCTGGGCAGCATTTTTTTCACATGTTGGCCCGGCTTAGACGCCGTCTGCTTTTGTTATTGCAGCCAAAGACATTTTTGTTATCTTAAAGTGCTCGGGGCTCGTCCAGGCCAAACAATGCAGCTGAAGACAATAACTAAAAAAAACATATATAAATAGAAAGCCGCTAAACAAGAAAAAAAAAAGAATAGGACAACGTCAGAAGACAAGAGATTTGTCAGGCTCGTTCTCAGCGTATTCATACATATTTAACAGACAATGGACAGTCATTTGCTTAGTTGCCGGCGTGAATATTTTGACAGCGCGCGCTTACTTATTGCACTCACTGTGCAACGTGTATTTGAATGCATTTCTATACAAAGTTCTGCGACTGTCACGCTGTCGTCTGCCATGGTATTTGCATTGTGCGCTGAAGCTGAACTGAACTGTTCCAGTTTCCGGTAGACCCCAATGTGTCAGCAGCCATGTAATCAGTCAGCGCCGTGCCCGCAGCAGTTACAGTCACAGTTACTGCTACTGCTACTGCTATCCAGTGTCGGGGAAACAAATCAATTAGCTGGCTAAATGGCTTATCAGGCCTTATGCGTAAGTCTAGCTGACAAAATTGCGCATACGCCGCGTGAGCCGTGGCTAAGCTGCTTTTAAAGCCGGGCGCCACCTTTAAAAACACATTACGAAATTACGCATGCGACGCATTGACAAATGAGGCGCGGAGCCATCACAACGTATACTTAATATTGCGCATACGTTGTGCAAACAGACAAACAGACCAAGCAATAAAAAATAATTACAAAAATAAAGCATAAAAAACAGCAGCAGCAGCAACAACAACAACAACAACAAAATACTACAACGTTATAAACGAATCAGTTTTAATTATAAAGCAAGAACTGCAGCTGGCCTGCGACTTTGCCGTAGACTCCTCTACAGCGACAGGATAAAGGCATACAAAATGATTTATTTATATACTGCGTATACGTAACATTGCGATATAACTGCCACGAGAGATTGCGTGCGAGAATATTATAATGCCTCGGAGCTTGTATACCCTTGCCATGGCAATGATAATTTAAATAAGCGATGTGTGACTCATTAAAAGTGACATTTCTTAAATCATTCAGTATATATTTCGCATATATATGCCTTCTATTCGAACTGCTTATCGAAATAATAGACATGCTCTACGGTTTGTTTCTTTTGTTTTTACATTTAACTCGAGCTAACTGAACTGCTACAAATTGAATTTAATCGAATCACTTAATCCCTTTAGCGTATATTTTATCTTAAAGCGTATTTGATCTTTTGCAACCCCCAGATAGCTGCTACTCTTTATACCCTGTGCCCAAGGCAAATGGGTGAGCGGGTATACTGATGTTGAGCAGAGCTTAGCAATGTCCATCTGTCTGCCTGCTCGCTTTTCTATTTACATTATCGATAAATATCGATTGCGAGACAAAGTGTTAAGTATTTAGCATACACTTAAATAGAGTCGAAAAGGAAGTTTGTTGTTGACCTCGCCATATAACACAAATCGATAAATATCGATTTCGGGCTATCGTTTTTAGTATTTAGCCTAAACGAATGCAAAGAACATTCTTTATCCTCATAACACCTAGTATAAGCACATTTGAAACTAATAAATTAAGCGTTTAGTTGCAAAGGAAGTTATTAACTGACCTTAGCATAAATCGATAAATGTCGAGTTGGAGCCAAAGTTTTTAGTATTTAGGAATGTAAGGAACTTTCCATTTCGAGCTATATCTCAGCATAATCTAAAGAACTTTCCCACACATTTGAAACCAATTTGCAAGCAAACACTTTGAGACAAATTTGATTGTTGTCCATCGATAAATATCGATTTCGAGTATTCCCTTGCCTTAGTCGGCGGCACACATATCCAACAAATTGTTAATTGCACAGTTTAACAGAAGCTTAGCGTAAAATTAACTTGTGAACAGGATATTTTCAAGTCTCGCCGTCAGTTGCTGCTGTTCATTTCAATTTGGAAATTATTGTGAAGAGTTTTGTGTGCGCAACGTTGATGCGACTGTCTAAAATCTGGCTCGGCTCCACCTAGTTTGCCTATTAGATGTGTGCGCTGCTCGCTTTCATGGCGCCCAGCTTCTGGCTTTGGCCTGTCTGTCAGTCATTAGTACATTTAATAGAGCTGACATGCCGGAGCCATGGCAACAACATGTGTCCTTTTTTGAATGGCATCTTTTATGTGCGCACACACACACACACACACACACACAACTCAACTGGGGCGCGCAAGTGCATTTCGTTGTTGAACAGTTGAATTAATTGTTTGCAAATGATTTTGCTGGCAAGTCAAAAGCACAAGTAAGACAAGCTGGCGCTGGGAGTGACAGTTTCATGGCAAATCCAAGCTAAGCCCGGCCCGTTTAATGGCATGCCACAAATTAAATTTCATGCACAACCAGCACACCCACAGCTGAGCGCATTTTGTCAATGCGAAATACCTGTACAATTTTGTCAATTCGAGTCTGCGAAATCTGCGCAGATGTCAAAAGGGATAATGAGCCAGTCGCCCCGCCAGGACACCAGGAAGCCGTTTCGCTTAGCCGCTGGGAAGCCCCTCCGGCTCTGTGTTAGGAATTTGCCAGCGCGGAAAATCAGCTTAGTCTGTGCCTAACATTTGTATATACTTACTTCCTTATATATATACGCTATATACCTTTCGCTCCTTTAAAAATTGACAATCGGTGGATGAATTGGTTTTTTCCCTCACCCTCCACATATAATTTTGTTTAAAGATGATGAAAAAGTGGTACGGCTTATATTTTTGATTATATATTTTGAGCTTATTATGATTATATTTGAAATTTAAATTTGCCCTGCTTAAATGGTTTTTATATGATATTACAGTGCGAAAAGTTACTTATGCTGGAACTCCATTAGAATAAATATCATTTATTTGCAATTTATTTGGAAAATGTTGTTAGGCAAATGATTATTTTATTTATTGTCGTATGATTAAAGCTTTGACAAATTCGGGACTTACAATTGCTTCGGAGAGTGCCTAGGAATATGTCAAAAGTGGAATAAACTTTTGTACAATATTGAAACAAACAAGTAAGAGGTTCTAGTCGGGAGCTCCCGACTAGGGGATACCCTGAACCCTCTTCTTCCAACATCAAATGCATATATATATTCTATTTTAGAAGCTATATGTCAAGTTTGGAGACTCTAGCTCTTATTATTTACCAAAATTGCCCAAAAAACAGGATATCGATATCGATTTTTATCGATTGCTTGGAAACGGAGTATGTTATCGATTATTGGTCGACTCGATCTGCGCAGGCACTAGGAGCACCTAGCTCTTATAGGTTCTGAGATCCTTGCGTTCATACATGCGGACAGACGGACAGACAGACAGACGGACATGGCTTGATCGACTCGGCTATTGATGCTGATCAAGAATATATATACTTTATGGGATCGGAGATGCTTCCTTCTGCCTGTTACATACATTTGCATTTTGCACAAATACAATATACCCTTTTTACCCATTTTTAATGGGTTCAGGGTATAAAAACAGTCTCAACTGAGCTTTACATAAAGTTTATTGTCGCTTTATATGGTAGATAAGTTCTATAAACTATCAAGGAACAAGAAAGAGTTACTCTTTTGCAGTTCTCTGGAAATAATATGGCATAAAAATGTGTGTAAATGCCAAAGTGCATATTGAGTTTTGTAAAATATGTGCAAAAGGGGATGCATTGATAATTTAAAGTCCATTCATTTTTCATGGAAAGTTTCCTCTCCAGCAAAAACCAAAATATATTTATATATGAAAATAATTTTATATTTTTGGCAAATTTGCAATAGAAATAAGCTTAAGTGCAGCTAAATATTGACAGCAAAAATAAAAAAAAAGGAAATACTTTTTGGATGACCTGTTGACCGTTGACAAAAGAAAACAAAACAAAACAAAACAATTAAAAGGCAAATTTTTGGATTGTCATGAGAGCGCCATGAATATTCATGAAGTGCTGCGCGACGAATTTAATAATTGAATAGCTTGAATATAAATGCGGCCACAAATGGCCAACAGTTCACCAGGCAGCCAGCCAGCCCGTCGGCCAGTCGGCCAGTTAGAGGTTGGTTTTAACCGTCTGGCTGTGGCGCCAGTAAGCCCAAAGTACACAGCATTCGGCAACCGGGGGCATGTCTAAATTAACAAATGAATTATTTAGTGCGAACACTTTCGTGGGCAATGCTTGGATTTACAACAATGCCAAATTTAGGTGCGAATGTGTTCCGTGCCGGGGATTAGCCTAAATGCGAAACTATGTAATTTGGTTAAAAGCGTTCGCACCCAAAATACATTCCGCCCCCGATAATGGACTTTTCATTAAAGTTCTTGCTGGCTTTAAAGCACCATCAACATTTCGACTGACTCTCAATTGTTGCAGATTTAGCCAGAAATGAATTTTTGGCCAAGTCAACCAGTTAGCAGCACACCTGTGCCCCACAGTTGAAGCCATGTCCAAGCCAGAGAATGCCGCGTACCTCAACACGAGCACGAAGTGAAATTGTTCACAAAAAACGAGAGCACGGCTCAGTCTAAATGGTTGAGATTGAGGATATTTAATATGTGTAAACAAGGTGTTGCATGGAAAACTTTTTTTTTCGTCCTTCAAGATAACGATTTCACTCTGCTTCCTTAATTTTTGCAAAATCGTATTCACATCGGATTACTATATCATATAGCTGCCACAGGAACGATCGGTCGTAAACTAGGCCCTTTTTTCTCGTTTAACTTATTTATTTTTGTTTTTGTATAAAGCAAACAGGGCTTAATATTATTAAATACATTAGAGACAATTATAATTGCCTAATAAATGTTGCTTCCGATTGAAAAAATCCGTTCGGTAGAGTTTGATTTAGCTTCGAGGTATTTGCTTGGCCTGCCGAATTTTTAAGATATCCACGTTTTTTACTTTGTTAATATAAGAATTTCGGTATTTATTGGATTTTTCATTCATTTCACTGTAGCCTGACTTTGTAGATCACACTCTGCGTGCTTTCCTTCTACACGACCATCGCGGCACGGCCCAAGCTCAACTCTAGTCAGCTTTGGGCTGCTCTGTCTTTCTGTCTGTCTGTTTGTCAGTGTGTCGCATCAGTTTGGCTCAGTTTTGCTCAGTTTTACGACTGTTTTTGCTCGACACGCGGCGCACTGCGCTGTTTTGGCTAGAAAAACCTAAAAACCCCGCCCTAGTTTTATATAAGAATTTAAAACAACATATGCAGGCAACTGGCAACTGGAAACTGGCAACTCGTTCTGGCCCAGATTGATGTCTGCTCCGTCTGTGGCCAGTTGCCGCATACGTTAAACCCACGAGTTTTACACACATTTCTTTCAATAGAAAAAAAAAAAAAAAAAAACAAATTTAAGCTAAGGCTTAAATGATCCGTTCCTCAAATTCATTTATAAGCAGTGCTGCCGAGTAAAGCGGAAAATACGCCAAGGAATATGAACATAGATAGGGCAGGCACAATACCGCCCAGCAGCTGTCGCATATGAAAAGTAGTTCAAAATAGTTATTAAATATAATAATCACAATAACTTACAAACTGATATGGACGAATATTGCCCCAGCCGGAGATAAGTGTGTTGGATGTGGTGCTGACGGGCAGCAGGAATTGATTATGAACAGAGGCTGCAAATGGCACGGCCAGCCCGCGCTTACCAACGCCCATTTGTATGCCCTATGCAATAAATTGTTCATTGAAATAATTAAACTTAATGCCAAATTACCCACCAAAGGGACCATGGAGCCTAAGACAATGTTCGCCACAAATGTGGCCGGCGCAATGCTGGTGAGCAGGGTGCCCAGCAGGCTGGCCAGCACGGCGCATGAGGTGCTGCGATAGCCCTGTCTGGCGATCGTCTGATTCACCAAATCCATTAGCTTGGAATCCTTGTAGCCCCTCAGAAAGGCACCGCCGGCGCCCATCATGAATAGATGGCTCCAGGGTGTGTTGGCGTTCACAATCTTCCAGCCTACCAGAGCCGGAGCCGTGCCCTCCTTCTGCGGCTGCCGGCAGCAATAATAGCGACAGAACATATAGTTAGCCGGCACGGCAAAAAAAAATAACGACATTAATATAATCGGCACCGAGGCGCCGCATTTGACAATAGGGACGTGATCGTCCCAGCCTGACCAAAGCAGCGGCAGACGTGTGAACAATAAGATGGCCGTAATTATGATCAGCAACAGGGTGAAAATCGAGTGAATCGTCCAGGGTCCCATGTTGTCCTTCTTGTTCGCGATCGCCTGCTGTATACCTTCCTTGGACTGGGCAACATCCCTAACCACATCTTTCGTTTTGCCCCAAAACAGACCCAAAAATATCATATTTATCCAAAGTGCAATCACAATAAAGCCGAATATCAATGGAGCAGCATAGAGCAGCAAGAAGCCAGCCGGATGCACAGACATAAAACTAAAATAAAATAAAATATATATATATATAGAAGCCGGCTAACATTTAAATGTGCATTTTACTCACGGCTTTAGGGTGGCATAGATCTCTCCGTTGGGATCCTGGAAGGGTGAGATCATGGCGCCAAGCGTTGCTGAATAGGCAACTGTTAGATATATGCCAATTACCGGATCCGAGGGATATGGCTTGCTAAACAAAGAAAATGAGTTAAAAAGGCGAAATTTTCAGCTAGCCGATCGAATGACTCACGCCTGACGCTCGTAGGTCTCCTCCTCCGATTCGGCCACCAAAATTCCGGCCTGAAATGAAGTTGAGCTATGCACAGATTATCGAGGCCTGCGAACAATACTTACTGCGGTATATTCCAGGATCACAGCCTGGGCGATTTTCATCCAGAAGGCAGCCATAAATGTGCTGCTGACAAAAAACGATGTGATGGCCGTCATAAACATGAGGAAAACCTGAAGACTGCAAAGAAAAGGATTTGAATTTAAGGCAGAAATTTATTGTGAATGAGCCCTGTTGCTGTGCTTATATATACATATATAAATATATATAGATGTCTTTTTTACCCAGGCTGTATTTCTATTAGATCGCAATTGATTGATGAGCATTGACTAGAAGTTTTATTATCAATAGAAACAATATTTAGAAATATAGCTAGGGATGTTGAGATTCATCCGTCGATCAGTTGGAAGTTAATAATATTCCTATCAACAATCAGTCAGTCATTAAGTCGGTCAATCATATATATGTATATATATATACATATATATATGTATATAGAGAGCAGTTAGCAGGCATCATTGCAGAGAACTCTCTCCTAAAAAACATACAGCCGCAAATTGCTGCCAACACAACCGATCACCATCATGCCCAGCCGTTCGCTAAGCTTCGAGACGTCCATCATGACGCCCATGAATATGCTGCCCAGTGTGACGAACATTAGATCCGAGTAGTAGGAAGTGCAAATAACTTTAGATGCCTGCAAGCAAATGTTTAGTAAGACAATATCTGGCAAGTAATTGGATTACAGTTTTGTTCCAGCTGCTTACCGATATACCGCAGACGGGCACAAAAACAACAAGTATGAACGCTACTGCCAGCTGTGACATGAGATTTAATATGTAATACAAATAGACCACAGTGCCAAGATATAACATGCGATAAGCCTGTTCAATAAACAATTGAATAATATCAAATAATCGATAGATGCAAATAGTAAATAGGCAGCTTACCAAAACTTCGGGGCCGAGAAGTATGGGACCCAACAAGATGGGTAGCAGCAGGAGCAGAACTCCCTTATAGTGAAACTTGCAAAACTTTTTTCGTTCATCCTGCTCCGGATACGGCAATTGACCCGGCTTGTAGTCTTCACTGTATTATTCAAATGGGTATAAATGCTTTGGACTTCTATCTGCAATGTGCCGCATTTTGTACTTACGCCATATTATATTCACTACTAAATAATTTTAAAAACAATTGCAAGCAAATGAAAACTGTTTGATGTTTGAATGAAATTCTGAAATACGAACTGTCATCTACTTTGACAGCTAAGTAAAATAAAACTAGAGTATAGCAGAGCTTAGAAATCTAACTGTCCCTCAGAGAACTTTTATCGAATTATTTCAAAAAGTTATCTTCCGCAAGTAATCATAGGCTATTTCCCGACAAGGCAATTTTAGATTCCTTAAAAGTTAACCCCCATATATCATATATCATATATAATATATATTATATCATATATCATATATCATATATTATACATCATATATCACATATAATATACGTCATATATAATTTATCATGTATCACATATCACGAATCATATGTCATACTTATATCATATATCACGCAAAAGCTTACATTTTCCGGTTCCATAGGAACAATCGCGTAAAAATTAGGTTCTTGTATGAAAAATTTGTTTCTTGACCAAATTCGACATTTATTAGTTTCGCTTTGCTGCTTGCCAATGTCGGACTCTGCTCTACTCTAAATAATATAGTTGCCATAGAAATGATTTTCTGTTTTTCAATATATCTTCGCCAAGTTCAACGAGCTTCGCAATTCTCCTCACTCAGCTGCAAAACCACATGTTCACAAGGGTATTAGAACATTGACAATTTCTTTGTGTGTTCATAAGCGACAATTTAACAATTTATATTTAAATACTTTTGAACAACATTTAATGCATAAACTGGCCCAATTTGGATTTAATGGCGCCATATGTGAAGCTCCATCAAACGACTAAAATTGGAGCACTTTACAAACATTTCGCAAACACCTGTTCGAAGAGCGCAAATACACAGTCTCTTGTACATCTATATATATTTACATATAATATTTGCACGAAAAAGGACCTCTTATTAGCTGTACCTTTGACAGCAGGCCCAAAAGGAGGTCTATGTGTGTAGTACGAGCTGAAGTAGTACTTAAAATGAATATATATACCCATGCATGCCTACGTATGTGCTTGTATTTATATATCTATGTACATGCTTGTTAATATATTTGCATAAGCACACATACGTGAGTGTGTGCGTTACGCACTTTTTTGAGCTGCACGCTTTCAATTTAACGGCCAATTGCCGAATACTCCAAATGAATGGCGCTCACGTACTCTCCAAGGAGTCGGCAAACAGAAAATATAATATAAATATGATTTGGCTAGCAAAATATTTGCTCCCCTGCCAAAGCAAGAGATTTGCAAATTAAAATCCTCATCACTAAACGTTCTTTTTCCACTCAATATTAATATTAATAAAAAAAAATGTAAATGAAAATAAAATCAAAAAAAATGTCTGATTGGCAAATCAAAGTTAAATTTATTGGCATTTATTGCGAATTTTAGACATATTTAACTGCGTTCGTTGTGGAATATTTAATTAGGTACAAAACATGAAAGATATTCGAAAGAAAGACATTCTAATGTGGACTTTAATAAGACCCAAGATTAAAGTATATATATTCTTGATCAGCATCAATAGCCGAGTCGATCTGTCTGTCCGTCCGTCCGTATAACCTATAAGAGCTAGAGACTTGAAAATTTAGATATGGGTCCTCCTAGTGCCTGCGTTTGTTTCCGATAATCGATAAAAATCGATATCGATATCCTGTTTTTTGGGAAATTTTGGCAAAAAATAAGAGCTAGAGTCACCAAACTTGACATATAGCTTCTAAAATAGAATATATATATGCATTTAATGTTATAAGAAGAGGGTATCAGGGTATCCCCTAGTCGGGAGCTCCCGACTAGAACATCTTACTTGTTTTTGTTTAAATAATATCGAACAGCATGAGATGATTGTTTTTATAGGAACACAATACATTAGGAACCTTTCGGTTAGATTATCTCACGTTCTATGCTTTAACTAGTTGAGAATTCCAAGTTTTATGCAACAGCAAAGCGACCAAAGGGAAAGAGTTAGCAATTTTGACCTATGCATAAGTGTAAGAATTTTGAAGACACATTTTGCAGTCTCAAAGTATTATATTTTTTTTATCGCATTCTGAATATTTGCTTAAATTTTTCGTGCACTGAAACATTTTGTACTTATGGATGCATCCGTATTAAATAAAAATGCGGAAATTCCTAGAAATGTTGGCATCTTTTTTTTTTTTTATTTTTTGGCACATCGTTTGCTTGTAACATTTTGTATTTATTACTTGATATGCTTTAAAGCTTAATTTTCTTCAAAAATATTTGTGAACATTTATTAAAGAGCTGCTTTACACGTCTTTTGAAATTCCAACGTGCTTTAACATGAACTGGGTTTTAAATCTTTACATTGAAAATGTTTGAATGGAATTTTATGATGGAATTTTATTAGAACATTAAACATGTAAGAACTTCGCTTTCCAACAGCACGACATGACCATAATATATATCAAATCCATTTAAACTAATCTCTTATTTGAACATCTCGCAGCAGTAGATATCAGTTTTTGATTGTTTTATTTATTAACTTGTATTTTTTTTGCGCTCGCATTTTATTTATCGCACTGAAGTTGGGCCCAAGCATAATTATCTTAAGTTTGTGATGCAATTTTAGTGCTCGTAAATCGTAAATCGTAATCGGCCGAGTGCTTATGATGTTGACACTGGCCAGGCCAGGCAAGCGAGCTAGTACTTGGATAACTAGCACTATCCGAAGGGCTGAAGAGGCGATTGGCGATGTTGAGTCTTGAGCTATCTAACGCATGCTTATTGGCAAAGTTTTTCTAATAGCTGGCAACTTTTGTGGGTCAAGTTTTAAGCAGCGTTGCACAGCGACTGCACTTTGGCCAATAAAACTTTCGTCAGCAACGCCGCGATGGATGCTGTAGCTAGTCTCTTGACGGCGATTGGAGGGATTGAAGGGAACGGTGGGGTGGGGCATAAAGAACACGGGGCAACTTTGTAGGGCCACGTGGCGCGTAACAATGCGCAGTCGTTGGCAATTTTGCGTAACTGTTCGCCGTTCAGCTTCGTTAGGATCGGACCAGGGAACACAGCTGCGGCTGGGGCTGGGCCAGAAGCTTCAGCTAAGGCCTGGATAAAGCTGCATAAACTTTGCGCGCCAGCCAAAAACGGATGTCACTGCAGATAATGTTGCATCAAATGTTTTTTGGGTGGGACGTTGCACGTGTGTCCGTCCGTCAGTCAGACAGTCTGTCTGCTGTGCTGGCTGCCGACTGTCAGCACCTGTACACCTGTACACCTGTGCAGCTGCATACCTGCACCGGCTCCTGTTCGTCTAGCACTTTGTTTGGGCAATCGGCAGTGAAATGCTTGCCCCTCCTTTTACAACCTATGACCCCTGTCTGTCCTATCTCTTGAAAAGTTTGCTGGCTCAACTTACCCTTAAGCCAGGTGGTTGGCCGCATTTGTTGTTGTTGTTGATTTGGTTTGTGCTTTTGCAACATTTCCGAAACCATTCGGCATGCGGCTGCGTTAGATTTAATTTCAAATGCTAGTTTTCCACTTGAATTAATTCGCTGACTGCACGGCGAATGCGAATCCATGCCGAGCAATTCAATTTAATTTGCTAGCAATAAATAGAAAATATTCGCTATTGTCATTGACAAGGAACTTGTCGTTTTATACGTTGCGCAACACTGTTTCGATAAGAAGAAGACACGCTATGACCTTGTAAAGCGTGAATTACTCGAATATGAATTATTTATTAATTTATTTTGTAAAATAATAATATATTACTATGCGCGCTGTGCAACACTGTTTCGATAAGAAGAAGACACGCTATCGTCTTGCACAACACTGTTTCCGTAAAAGGAGGCATGCAATTGTGCATCCATTGTGCAAAATATCATTATGATTGATGATTGATGGGTAACTTCTCCAGCTGAATTTCGTCTTGATTGTTGTCGCTCACATTTCAATCGGTAATCAATTAAAAAAATAAAAACCGCAATTTGTGTCTCAGCCAGTAACTGGTATTTGGCATCAACTCAAGCACGTGTCGTGTTTTCTGCACCTGGCAAAGCTCTAGATTTGCTGTTGTATGGAATGGAGGACATTCGACTCTTTGTTATTCTTCTTCTTCTTGTTAGGGCAAGTGATTGACGGCGTGGCTGGCGTTGATGGGCCCCGGCGTAGGAGCATACAGAACATGAAAGGAAACAATGAAGGAACAACTACCACAATGGAACAACGCCAACAAACAACACACGGCATGACAGCCGTAATAACAACAACAACAACAACAACAACAACAACAACAACAACGACAACAATAACAACAGTGATGACCAAACATGGCGCCCACAAACAAAAAGATGAAGCGCACGTAAAATGGCGCCGGATGTTGATTGACTTTTGTTGAACAATTTTTCGCATACGGAAGTTTGATAAACAGAAAATGGCGTTGTTTTGCCTTGGCCTTTATGCCCCTACACACACACACACACACACGCGCGCACATGAAATTTGCATATACGTTGCGTATACGCAGCGTTGATTTTGTCGAAAAACATAAATGCACAAGTTGAGAGTGTAAATCGTGGCATCAATTGTTATAGCTTGCCTTTAATAAGGATTCAGCACACTTCTGGCTGCTTTTCCACAAGCCTTTCCATAAGCTAACAAAATAATTGTATATAAGAAGTCATAGAGACGACGCATGTTGCCAGTTGAACTTTAGTCAACCAGCTGTCAAGTGTGTGGCCTGCTCTGATTTTCCTGATTTTCCCCATAAGCGTTAAAAGTCACAGATTTGCAGAATTTGTTCACAATAGTTGCTGTAGCTAAGCCTATACACGTTTGCGGCAACGCCTGCCGAACAGCTCCCAGCCCCACCAGCAGCGCTGTTGCGAGTCCATCAGCAGCTCTCCGGTCATCGTGAGCTCATCCTCCAGTATGTGGACGCAGCTGGTTATCTCGTACTGTAGCTGGAGGCGCTGCAGTGTACGGCAATAGGCCAGCTTGTTTGGCTGACGCTGCAGCTCCAGCTCCAACTGTTCCGTCCAGTTGCTGGACTCTGCCCCAATGCTAATGGGCACCATTATTAAAATCTGGCCCAGCAGCAACCAATACGCTTCGGTGCTCCGCATGGCGCAACTTCGCGGCAACAACTGAGGCCGGGCCGGACTTGACGACCGCAGCCGCAACTGCAGCAATTGTCGTTGAGCAGCTGTTTATTTGCCAACTCATTTTATTCGCTCTTATTTAGTTGCATTTAATTGCAAATTCGCGCGATGCGCCTCAAATTGTACCCAACGGGGCCAATAAAACTCGCTTCAAGTTTCTTGGCCAATTGCTTGACGCTTAAACCTCGGCTGCTCTACATTAAAAGTTAGCAAAAATGTAGATCTACTCATACTGCCAAAAGCTATCTCTATATATAAATATGTTCGATCCGACTGACTAACTAACGATCATTGATCACCAACGCATAGCCCAAGGCAAGACCGGGTTATACCCCCATATAGAAAAAGGTTAAATTTTCCCACGCACATGGTCAAATCTCATCCGATTTTCACGAGGTTTGGCTTTTTCTTCATGGTTTTCCCTCCAGATTAATCTGGCATTCAAATCTGAACACATATTTTTGGTCAAATTTCATGTCAAAATCTAACCCCAAATTCCTATATAGACATGGGTCAAAATTTCCCACACCCATAACTTGGTCAAATCTCATCCGATTTTCAACAAGTTTGGCTTTTTTATCATGGTTTTCCCTCCCAACTAATCTGGCATTCAAATCTGAACACATGTTTTTTAGTCGAATTTCATGTCAAAATCTTACCCCAAGATTCCTACATAGACATGGGTCAAAGTTTCCCACACCCATACCATTGTCAAATCTCATCCGATTTTCACGAGGTTTGGCTTTTTCTTCACGTTTTTCCCTCCAGATTAATCTAGCATTCAAATCTGAATACATATTTTTTAGTCGAATTTCATGTCAAAATCGTACCCCAAGATTCCTATATAGACATGGGTCAAAATTTCCCACACCCATAACTTGGTCAAATCTCATCCGATTCCCACGAGGTTTGGCTTTTTCTTCATAGTTTTCCCTCCAGATTAATCTGGCAATCAAATCTGAACATATGTTTTTTTGTCGAATTTCATGTCAAAATCGTACCCCAAGATTCCTATATAGACATGGGTCAAAATTTCCCACACCCATAACTTGGTCGAATCTCATCCGATTTTCACGAGGTTTGGCTTTTTCTTCATGGGTTTCCCTCCAGATTAATCTGGCATTCAAATCTGAACACATGTTTTTTTGTGGAATTTCATGTCAAAATCGTACCCCAAGATTCCTATATAAACATGGGTCAAAATTTCCCACACCCATAACTTGGTCAAATCTCATCCGATTCTCACGAGGTTTGGCTTTTTCTTCATAGTTTTCCCTCCAGATTAATCTGGCAATCAAATCTGAACACATGTTTTTGAGTCGAATTTCATGTCAAAATCTTACCCCAAGGTTCCTATATAGACATGGGTCAAAATTTCCCACACCCATAACTTGGTCAAATCTCATCCGATTTTCACGAGGCTTGGCTTTTTCTTCATGGTTTTCCCTCCCAACTAATCTGGCATTCAAATCTGAACACATGTTTTTGAGTCGAATTTCATGTCAAAATCGTACCCCAAGATTCCTATATAGACATGGGTCAAAGTTTCCCACACCCATAACTTGGTCAAATCTCATCCGATTTTCACGTGGCTTGGCTTTTTCTTCATGGTTTTCCCTCCCAACTAATCTGGCATTCAAATCTGAACACATATTTTTTGGTCGAATTTCATGTCAAAATCTTACCCCAAGATTCCTATATAGACATCGGTCAAAGTTTCCCACACCCATAACTTGGTCAAATCTCATCCGATTTTCACGTGGCTTGGCTTTTTCTTCATAGTTTTCCCTCCAGATTAATCTGGCATTCAAATCTGAACACATATTTTTTGGTCGAATTTCATGTCAAAATCTTACCCCAAGATTCCTATATAGACATGGGTCAAAATTTCCCACACCCATAACTTCGTCAAATCTCATCCGATTTTCACGAGGCTTGGCTTTTTCTTCACGATTTTCCCTCCAGATTAATCTGGCATTCAAATCTGAACACATATTTTTTGGTCGAATTTCATGTCAAAATCTTACCCCAAGATTCCTATATAGACATGGGTCAAAATTTCCCACCCCCCATAACTTGGTCAAATCTCATCCGATTTTCACGAGGCTTGGCTTTTTCTTCATGGTTTTCCCTCCAGATTAATCTGGCATTCAAATCTGAACACATATTTTTTGGTCGAATTTCATGTCAAAATCTTACCCCAAGATTCCTATATAGACATGAGTCAAAATTTCCCACACCCATAACTTGGTCAAATCTCATCCGATTTTCACGAGGCTTGGCTTTTTCTTCATGGTTTTCCCTCCAGATTAATCTGGCATTCAAATCTGAACACATATTTTTTGGTCGAATTTCATGTCAAAATCTTACCCCAAGATTCCTATATAGACATGGGTCAAAATTGCCCACGCCCATAACTTGGTCAAATCTCATCCGATTTTCACGAGGCTTGTCTTTTTCTTCATGGTTTTCCCTCCAGATTAATCTGGCATTCAAATCTGAACACATGTTTTTTAGTCGAATTTCATGTCAAAATCTTACCCCAAGATTCCTATATAGACATAGGTCAAAATTTCCCGCACCCATAACTTGGTCAAATCTCATCCGATTTTCACGAGGCTTGGCTTTTTCTTCATGGTTTTCCCTCCCAACTAATCTGGCATTCAAATATGAACACATGTTTTTCAGTCGAATTTCATGTCAAAATCTTACGCCAAGATTCCTATATAGACATGGGTCAAAGTTTCCCACCCCCCATAACTTGGTCAAATCTCATCCGATTTTCACGAATCTTGGGTTTTTGATTTGGTTTTGGTATGTAAATTAATTTGGCGTTAAATTCTCACAACATTACTTTTGGTCGAAATTCATGTGAAAATGAAATATGCCTTAAAGATATAGGTCAAAATTTTCCAACACCATAAATTGGTCTAATCCTATTTTCACTAAGTTTGTTTCTTTGTTCATGGTTTGGTCTCTAGCATTATTTATATTGCTCAAAATTCATATAAAATTCGTACCCTCCATAATTCAGATATACTTGGATTCAAATATCCCATTCTCATAACATAAGCAAATAAGTGTCAGACGACCGTTTCGGTGGTTTTTCTACTCTTGCGGGAGATACTTCCCAAAATCCCGTAAAATTGCCGTAAAAATGTCGCATTAAATGTTTGCCATAGATTCAGTTTCAGTTTCTCATGATGTCAGCTGTCATTAAATCAATTGGAATGGATTTTTTTTTTGATACATTTTTCTCACTGTCGCATTATGCTAAAATATGTAGAGTGCATCTTTTCAAGCACTTTTGCTCAATTCGGCAGAAAATTGAAAAGGAAATCAACTTAGTTCGTGGAAAAACAAAAAATTCATTGGCTTGCTTATCTGAAGAAGCGCGGCCGGGGAACATTGTCAGCAGATAGGTTTGGCAAGCGATAAGCGCAAGATAAGTTTAATTGAAATTGGCTGGGCGCTTGTTCGAACATAATTGAATTAAGTAAAATTAAAAAATTGTTAACGCTCGTGTTGTTTTGTCGCGGCAATTCGCGTATTTATCCATGCCCAATCTGGGCTACGTTCGCCGCGAAACTCTCCAATCTGCGCGACTATAAAAAGACAGCGCCGCGCTGCAAAGTTCATTCAGTGTTTGTTCAACTATCAACCAGTTAACCCTTCAGCATTTGTGAAATGAACATGTCTGGTGAGTAAGGCGGGTTAGGCGACTTAGCTGGCGAGGATCATTCAACATCAATTGTATGTCAATGCAGGCATGTACCTTTTGGCGAGCATCCTGTGCGTGGCTGTTGCCGGCAGCCTGGCCGAATCCATTCTGGAGGGCAATTATAATGTGACCGCGTTGTGTACGAGCGTAAAATATGGCGTTCAAGTTGGCAGCCTCGAGTCCTGTGACTATTACTATGTCTGCACCGCTTCCGGGCCAGTTAAGACCTATTGCCAGACAGGCTATGCCTACAATTATGTAACACAAACCTGCAGTCCGGAGGCTCAGGTTAATTGCTATTACGGTGTGGAGAATCCCTGTGCGGGTTCTACCGGCGACAAATGGGTGCCAGTTGCCGGCACCTGCAATCAATGGATCTACTGCAAGAACGGCGTCAACAGCGGCCAGGGCTCCTGCGGCGCCTTGAGCTTTGACCCGACCAGCCAGAATTGCACCTATGCGCCCTGCAATACCTTGCCCGATGCCGATATCAATTACTGCAGCGTAGTGCCGCCCGGCATCTTTTTCGGCTCCACAACCGATTGCAAGACATATAACTATTGCTATCCAAATGGTAAACTGACTTCAGCCAATTGCGAGTTTGTAAGTTTCAGTCAATCTCAATTGGAGTAGCCCGATATCAGTCTGAATTGAATCAATCTTTGTCCACCTGCAGGCATTCGTTGTACAGCAGGACGGCTGTGGCTACGACACGGGCAGCAATTGCGACAGAGTTGTAGCTGAAGCAGTTCCCGATAGTTGTGACAACACCGGTGACGTAGAACCTGATAATTCAACATGTGGCAACTATTACTATTGCAATAGCAACAAATATGTGACGATGAGCTGTCCCATTGGTCAGTATTTTGATACTATCCAAAAAAAGTGTGTCGCACGCCAACAAGCTGTCGCTGCTGAAGGCTGCAATCGCTGCCAGTATGCCAACACGCCGTTCGTGAATAACGTGAACTATGACAGCTGCAACACCTACTACTACTGCTCGAATGGTGTCAACGGAGCGGTCACGACCTGCCCAAGCGGCTACTTCTTCAACGAGAGCGAACAGGGCTGCGCCAGCATGTCTGGACTTGGATCGTATGTTACTACTAACGGTGCTTGTCATGGAGCTGAAGTCCCAGCCACAACAACAGGTGCCCCCTCTAGCGATTCTACCGATTCGGAAGTAACTGAATCTACCGCATCTGACACAACGACAGAAATCACAACAACAGAAAACGACGCTGGCAAATAAACCAACAACAATCTGCGACAAACATCGAAAAATGACTACTATCACTATCAAAACTTAAACAATAGCCGATAGAAAATAATAACTATCAAATTATTTTAATAAAGCATGCAATTCAAAAAACAAAAATCAAGTAGCATTCTGAATTTTGTCATGAATATAAATATATAATATATAAAAATAATATAAAACAAGTAACAGGTTCTAGTCGGTAGCTCAAATGCATATATATATTCTATTTTAGAAGCTATATGTCAAGTTTGGTGACTCTAGCTCTTATTATTTACCAAAATTGCCCAAAAAACAGGATATCGATATCGATTCTTATCGATTGCTTGGAAACGGAGTAAGTTATCGCTTATTGGAAACAGGAGCGCCTAGCTCTTATAGGTTCTGAGACGGACGGACAGGCGGCCATGGCTAGATCGACTCGGCTATTGGTGCTGATCAAGAATATATATACTTTATGGGGTCGGAGTAGCTTCCTTCAGCCTGTTACATACATTTGGATTTTGCACAAAAACAATATACCCTTTTTACCCATATTTAATGGGTTCAGGATATAAATATAAAAATATAAATATATAAATGTATATAGTTTCGTATATCGTATATATACATACTTATACATCCGTATAAAGAACCATATTTTGGAATCAGAAGTTACGGTCGTACGGTAAGAACGTGAAAGCTGTCGAATAAACTTTCGTTTGGCGATTTTTTCATTTATTTGCTTTTATCATGAGAGTTTTTATCACCATGCCATTATTTATGGTTATTATTAAAAACACACTTTTTAAGGTATTCAACAAATTTGTTTGGCTCCATTTTTTTTTTATAAGATCACAGAATTATTAGCCCTCACATTTAAAATATATATTCATCAATACAAAGGTCATTCAATAAAAAAAACATAAAGTAAAAGAAAGCAAGCAATATATCGGTATAAAAACCATGCGAATGCTAAACTGGATTTGGGTCCTTATTTTATTTATATTCACATATTTTTAAATCGATTTTTTTTTCACGGAAAATTGATTTTGCGTTTTTCGCACCATACAAACCAGCCCATCAAATACCACGCCCCGCGCCGCCAACGGGGCGTCCCGCTTGTTAGCTTTCTTTCTCGGTGCGACATTTTCATTATCGGCGCCCTTTTTTTTGTATACCCTGAACCCATTAAAAATGGGTATAAGGGTATTTTGTAATTGTGCAAAATCCAAATGTATGTAACAGGCAGAAGGAAGCATCTCCGACCCCATAAAGTATATATATTCTTGATCAGCACCAATAGTCGAGTCGATCTAGCCATGTCCGTCTGTCCATCTGTCCGTATGTATGAACGCAAGGATCTAAGAACCTCTAAGAGCTAGGTGCTCCTAGTGCCTGCGCAGACCGAGTTTGTTGCTTCCGATAATCGATAACTTACTCCGTTTCCAAGCAATCGATAAGAATCGATATTGATATCCTGTTTTTTTGGGCAATTTTGGAAAATAATAAGAGTTAGAGTCTCCAAACTTGACATATAGCTTCTAAAATAGAATATATATATGTATTCAATGTTGGAAGAAGAGGGTTCAGGGTATCTCCTAGTCGGGAGCTCCCGACTGGAACCTCTTACTTGTTTTTTTTTTTTTTTTTTTTTGTGGGAGATGCTTTTCTTCATCTGCTTGGAATTGCATTTGCAATGGCCACAAAATGAGAATCCGGCGGATTCGCCCTGCTGATGCATCCAATCGAGCGTAAATTGCACCGTTATATTATTTAATAATGGGCTGCAGGTTACCCTTCGACCTGGCCATGTCGTTGGGCAATTGCGCGATAGTTTTTTTCCTTGAAAATGTGACAGGCCATATAAATAAATGTGCAGGGAAATTGCCTGAAATGCAGCTGAAAATTGTGCGCCAAAGTTTAACAAGTGGCTTTCCATTGTCACATAACTGAGGTGGAGTTGCACAAAAGAAATAAAAGCCAGAAAATCATTTTGCAAGTCCAATTATTGAATTTTCTCATTTGGTGTAAGAGGCGCATTCACTGAGCAACAAGCATAGATAAAAGAACTTTTTTTTGTTGAGTGGAAATTAAGGAACTCTTAAAGCTTAAGAAAGAAAGCAAAAGCTTTATAACTACATTAAAGCTAAGGTGCGGGACGCTTTACGATCTATGCAAAGTGGAAATTGAGCACACTTAAAGCTTAAAGCAAAGCAAAAGCTTTTGGATTTTAAGCTTTGAGCACGTAAACGAACTTAACCTTTGAAAGCATATTAATTGAGCAATCTTAAAGCTTAAGAAAGAGAGAATAAGCTTTATAACTACATTAAAGCTTAGGTGCGAGGCACTATACGATTTATGCAGAGTGGAAATTGAGTACAAATCACAAGCTTTTGGATTTTAAGCTTTGAGCACGTAAACGAACTAAACCTTTGAAAGCATATTAAAGAAAGTAAAGCCTTAGCTATTGTTGTCCTGTCTAATTAAGCAAGGCTCATAAGTAGATTATTTAACTAACATTAATGCTAGCTTCTCTCTTTGTCTCTACCTGCTGCACGTGCTCTATTCTATTAGTTCGCACAGCACAATTCCATTAAAGGCATAAATCCGAAATGGCCAAATGTTAAAAATGTCCGCCTGCCTGCTGAACAGACAGTTCGTTGGGGCTCACAGTCAAATCTCAGCATGAAATTCATTTCGGATTAAATTAAGGATTAAGGTAACTTTTTCAAAGGCAATGCTCGACCAGCGCAGCCCAGCAACGGCTTCGGGCTCAGCAAAACTCTATTTTATTTTATATTATTTTTGTATGCCATTTCGTCAGTCCAAGCGGAAGCGCTCTTAAGTATTTAAGTAAATTTAAAAACTTGTTAAGCTCTCATAATGAAGCAATTTTGTGCATTGCCAAGAATTCTGTTCAAGTTTTTATTGGCTTGCCTCGACAGCTAATAATGCTGGACATTAGATGCGAGCCCATTTGATTTTCGGCACTTGCCTCGGCGTTTTTATTAATTAGCCGGGCATTGGGCGCATTGAGCGCCCCATTAAATGTTGGCCTCAATGAGCTGTTGGCCACGCCCCCCGCACCCCACACCTCGGCCTTCAGGCCCCTCGTAACCTGTCCTAATGATGCTCGACAACAATGCGCCGGCTCAATGATAATGAGCCCATGAAGCATGTGCAGCTGTAGCTTCGGCTCGTTATGCCAGCCAAATGCGGCTCATTTCATTTCAACAACTCCATTAAAGCAACACAAAGGATGTGCGCCAGGTCTACCTGCCATCTCCCACCTGTGCTCTAGCCGTATTCTGTAAACCAACAGCTGGTGTGGTTTGTGGGCCGACAGAAAAATAAAAACAGCCCCAACAGAAGAATTCAATTACACATTTTTGACCTTTTTTCATTGTTTGTGTCACATTTGCTGTTTCTGTATGTTTTTGATTTAAATGTTCTCATTCCTTGCTTAATAGACAAATATGTTTTATGTTTTTCACTCTAAAAGGCCCCCGAAAAGCTGAAGTTAGCAGTTTTGAAACAATGAAACAGCAAAAAGCATTTTTGCATACCCTACCGAAGCGGATAGCATTCTTTTGTCACACAATTGCGACGCTAGAAAGGGCATTAAATGTCGAGCATAAACTAAATATGCAAATTAGACACAGTTTAAGGGACTTTAATGAGACTTTGCGAACGTCTATCGCATTTGCGAAATATGTGAGTATTCGCCCCGAATAATTCGTGTTTCTTGCGATGATTTATCGAGTTTCGTGCCGATGTATCGACCATAAACAGCTGATAAAACAAAGAAAGCAAACGATAGCTTTCAATTATAATTTGAAATTAGAATAATTCCACAGTTTTGAACATTTTAAGATGACCAAATCCCGCATAGATTTCCTTAAATGCAGCTCCAGCTGTTTATTTAAAGAGGCGCTTTTTTTTTGCCACTCACATGTTACCGACATATGACACCTGCTAATGGAAACACCAAATGTAAAGTTTGAATATGTAACATATTTTGAGCGTATTGAAATTAGGCTATTAGCAAATTGGCCTCTACACACGTCTCCTCATATGTCATAAGCCACAATTCCAGGAGGGCATTGCATCTTCAGCATGCCGAAGATAGTTTCTCATACAAGTTTTAGTTTATTTTATTTTTGCTGCTGCTGCCAGCAAAGTTTTTAAGCGCAACGTGGCGTATGAGTAATGCCATTTGCAAGTTGAAACTGAAGAGTTGCATGCGACTAACTATTGCAATTATATGCCGGCAACTGAGGCGTTCTGGGGCCCGCTGCCGGCTAAATGAACTGAGTTCTAATGAGTTGTAAACTATCCCGAAAAGGCAACACAGCGAATACATATATAGTTATCTGGAAGACTATGTAGGCGTGCATATGCCGTCGAATGCTTTTCGGATGCTCATAAATCTTCATTCGCGGCATTCGCATCATCATCATCATGTTGGGCTTGGGTTATGGTCCTTCATCTTTGGTTGCCTTATACATTTGTTTCTGGTGCTCGCCTTTGTGTCGCTTTATGCGTCATTTATCATGCGAATCTCTTTACTTGTCACTTTTCCCTGTCTCTACTCCTGCTGCAGCCATGATTTTTCAGTTTTCAATGCGAACGCGTGACAAACTGACTGACAGTGAATGCATCAATGCCTGACGCCTTGACAAAAGCCAGCCAGCCACAAACTGCGACCGCATAAGTCACATTAAAGCCCGATATCTATAGCTTACCCCATGCCCCCACCTACTCCCTATCTCTATGCTAATATATAGGCAAGTGCTATAAATATGTAACTGTTTCGATTGTCGCCTTTCAATTTCCGGCGGATATGCGGGCGCTTTAAAATTTAATTGACTGTTGCTTAAAAATAACCGGGAAATGCAATGCTTTGCAAACAAAACGGAAAGTAAACAAAATAAACGCAACAATTGCCAACAACAATAGACCGAAACCCGGTTCACTGGGGATACTTGGGGCCAATTCGCATATAATTCAATTTGCGTTGATTTCATAATGAGCCGCAGTCGCATGCATATTTCATAAGTATAATT